AACTTCTTTCAACGGCCCCAGCCGGCACTATTAAAATAAACAATTTTCCTTTATATTTGTCGGTTCATTAGAGTTTCGTTTAATTTAAATACTCATTTTGCCTCCGTATTAGAATTCACAAATTGCTGTATTTTGTTAATTAAGCGCTATGCATGTTCGTGATACGTGCTTATTTAAAGAACTAAAATGAGAGACACATAGCGTTTCGTAGAAAAATATTTTTATATTACATTTAATATTTTCCGCGCATTTACATACGCATAGCATGTACTTGATAGGAATATATGTTCCTCTTTAAATCTACATAATCAATTTCAATTTTGTGTTTTACCCGACGTTAACGTAGGACACGGTAGATGATTTTCGATTTCCGTTTAGGACTGCACCTCCATTAACAATGTCGTCATCATTGTCGTCATAGAAAGATCTTCTGTACCAGAACAATGGAAATCTGTAGTATGTGTCTCTAGCAACTAATCCCTCTTGACCATCTGTAAGATGAAGATTACGAAATTAATTATATAGTATCTTTAATCGTGTTAAGGATGTGTATCAACATCTTTTTTTATTTAATTTTACTTTACACTCTAACATTATTTAATGCGATTTATTTAAATCATATCAGAGCCTAAATCTTCATTTTGTCAAAAATTAATTTAAAAGGAAAATTAAATTTTTAATTTTCGAGAACTGTAAGCTTTTTTGTTAAAGTTGTGTAGAATTTTTTCCTCGTATAAAGAGCCATGCTAATTTCCATAATCACAAAATTTCTTTTTGAAAAATATCTTCAGGGTACAAAATTATATTATAAGATTTTTACATAGTCCTCGTATAAAATCAGTAACTTTTGCAAATTAGATTTGAAAATACAGTTGGGTAGAATTGATAATCGGACAACGAGATAAATTGAGACGAACTAACTCACCATCGCCAAATTGAGGAAATGGTAAAGCGTTAACGAAGTTGAGCGCCGTGAAAACAATTGCGAGATACATTGCGAATCTCATTGTATTGTGCAGTCGTCTCACCGGATATAAATTGTACTTAATGGACGTCTTGAAGTTTGTCTGAATTATGCCGCGACATATCTTACGTTCTTATATATATACACTTGTTCTACGCCTCGGTTCTTTCTATCGAATAACAAGCGAGGCGTTAATTCGAAGACGTGACTCGAATGACTAATTTCGCTAACGAAGCCGGCCAACGGGAGTGTTCTGGCAACAGTCGGATTCATCATTGTTTGTTACATAAATCTAAATATTCTGAGAGGAATTTCTCACATCTTTATTGACAAACGATATTGTGCTACGATGACTTCATTCTGATCCGAATATTTTTCTACATTTATCGATACATACGATTCACAGCAGATAGGAAACCAAAACAGAATTTTTCCCATCACGGTTTTTATTTATTCGCAATGGAACATATACGAAAACGACACTCTTCTAGCAAATCGGAATTGAAAGGCGCAATTGAAACTCATGCAAATTATGAATAACTTATTTTATCGTCGCTTACGTAATTTCCCATGAGATCCCGCAGAGTTGTCCAAATAGAATCCTTCGTCTGTATGTGTGTCGGTGTTTCTCGTTGTGTATCCGCGCGATCGGATGTCGAGAAGCTTCCTATCGATCGCCTCGCCCTTCTGGAGCAACATCGCCCGTCGTATAGTTTAAAGTACTCCGCCGGATGCGGAGACAGAGACCTTGCAATACTATTGCAACAATCGCTCGATCGGATTTGCCAGACTTAACGAGAACACTGTCCGTGGCGTAACAAACGTTTCGCCGAGTTTCCCTTCGCAAGCTCAGCGTCGCTCTTTGTGCGTTTAGTTGACGTGAAACTTTATTGCCCGCGTACCTAACCGTTGTGTTCGCGGGCGAGCCATTACGAGAGAGACCGTGTAACTTACGCTCGTTACCAAGCCGTAAAGCGATCTCGTTCCCGCTCGCTTCTGAAGCACAACGCTTATTCCTCTCGCAGGCTTAAACGGAAGAGAATAAATGCATGACCCGAGCGGATGTCTCGGGGAAAGCGATAAAAGATGGTCTATCGCTCCATTGAAAAGTGGGAATCGCCATCATTAGTCTTTGGCTAAATCCTACTTCCGGTATGAAGGACAATGCCGGTTACTAAAGCGGTGATTATACGGTCTCGACGTTAACTGTAAGTGAGGATTGAGAAAGGATCTCTTTGCACCGATACTGCTTACGTTTCTTATCTTTATCTCTCTAATCTTTTCGTACGACATATTTTTCAAATGAAAAGGGATATCTCTCGCTTGCTAAGAGGATTTAGAAAATTAACGCTTAAAGAGTAATTAAACTTTTAGTTTTGCGAAAATGTATGCACATCCTGAAACAAATTAAAGTACTGTACAATTTAATTGCCATTAATTTAATGTCAAGAACGAAAAAGTAATTATTCTAATGCAATGCTTTATCACTGTCCGAAAAGAACTTCTGCTTTCCGTTGTTTCTCTGATACGCGTTCGTTTTTGTAAGCCACTACACAACTTTCTCACATATGCTAGCTCATACGCTTATTGTTTATTGTGACGATCATCTACATATATAAATTTTTATCATTTTCTATATCTTTGTAGAGTGCCACTCATATCACATAACATTTTTCTAACAAAGTGTTCTTGAAAAATTATAATCTGCAGTTATTAACAATGCATAAATAATACATAATACATCGGTTTGCGACTTCGACAGACATATCTTGACTGTAGAGCACAAGTTTTAATCTTTTAGCGAATCCAATAACATGTAGAAGCATCGATAATCCGCGGAATTATCAGATTAAGGGCAAACTCCGGCGGAAACGATTTTAATAATTTTGCCAAAATTATATCTAAGAGAGAATCTCCCTCTTTTCGAAAAACTTTCTGGCAATAATTATACAATTGTAAATTAAATTTTATTAAATTTTATAAAATAGAGCTTATATATATAAAATATGATATAATTATTCACAGCAAATGTGAAACTAAAATAGATGGAATAATCATTTTTAAGTTTTTTTGTTCATGTTTTTCAAAGGAAAGCTTTTTTAAACGTATATATATATTTGTTATATTTATTAGAACATAATTAGTGCAATATTGATATTTGATAAATTAACTTCTCTCTCTGTCTGCCCTTGAACGATATATTTTAACATATTCATATATTTTTTAAAACCGTAAATCTATTTTAACCATCGATGAAAAGTTCTCTTTCAAGGTTATTTTCTCCGCCACTGAACTTGGGGAATGGCATCTCGGTACTTCGAAAATCTTTTCCAGCTCGTGAGCATAAAGAGAGAGAGAGGGATCTCTTCCTTCAGTGTTAAAAAAAACTTGCGTCATGAGATTCTCGATGGCGACCAAGGCGCTTGACGCTTCGTCGATCGATTATCGTTATTAGGTTACTGCTAACTAGTGCTTTGAAGTAAATCGTGCGGCCGTGTGTCTTTGCTTCCCACAAAGAATGTCAAGGAATACTCCTATGAGCCTTTTTCCAATCATTGCGTCGCAAACAATGTAACGGCGGTATCAAGGGTCTCCTCCGTTGATAAGCGTTTATTTGAGCAAAGTGCACGGAAACAGATAATGCACAGTCACGTACCGTGAATGGACAAACGTTCATTGAATAGTTAAGATCTCCTGACGCGTTTCCGGTTGCAGAATACGTTGCGTTTTTGCAGCTTTTGTTATTTTATCGAGCTACGGTGGTTGTTCACTTTTTTTCCTCTCTCCCACATGTTGTTCGTTGCCAACGTGTATGTATAACGATGCTTTCGCTGCGTTAAATACTAAAACCGAGATACAGCATTTGTTGATTAATCTTAAATTCAATTAGGTTTTTTCGTTTTATATAAACAGCAAATTCATTGAGAAAAGAATAATGTATTCTTTTGAAGGAATATTTGTTATTTAAAAGCAAGTTTTAATATCTCCATCATAGATGTTGATAAGATATTATAATAAATTATAAATTTACAAGATTATAATAAATCTTTTTTAGTTTTACATTTGCTGTGAATAATTATATCATATTATATATATATATATATATAGGCTCTTTTTTTATAAAAAAGACAATTGAAATGATCTTCGCCCATTTATAAGCTTTTCTGCAGAAAGGTACGGATCATTGATCTCGCAAAAAGAAGTGATTTTTTACACCTTACGGATACTCGACGAGAGATATAACTATTGTCCGATAATTCCTCTGTTGGCGAGCGGGAATCACACTTCCTCTCTCAATCTTCGCTTCGCGTAAGGTCCACAATCTTCTGTTTTTGAGATTTGGCGTTAGTCTGATCACGTAGAGCGTTTCCCGGTCCCCTTTTGCACTGCAGGGGATTCGATCGAATTCCCGAGTGGCTCGGCCACTCGGTAATACTCTACCCCGTGACTCCCGCATATTGACGAAGGGGATTTGCCGAGGAGGTGAATCGCTTGATTGACGGTGGTCTTTCATAATAGAGAATATCGTGAATATTGAATCGTTAAAAGGATCGATATATATATATTTCGACAGACTGAGGACATTGATTTCAATCGACGATTTCACTGCGATACCATTCGATTCGAAAGAATTAAACATAATATTAATAATCGATATCGAAGTATATATAAATTAATAACGTGATAGACGATAAGGCGAGGGATGATTTTACTAATATCGGTTAAGCTCAGTCGGTTAGTCGAAAGGCCATGTTTCTTGGCATCGATCTTGGTAATAAATATATCTACCCCTATCTAGCGAGAAATGACCATCGACTAGATATCCCATGACCTTCCCACTTGGCTCCTCTCGGATGATGGCGGATACTATCACGCGGGTCGTGTAACGCGACTGTAGATGATCGCGGCTGTAAATTATTCTTAGGACGATCGCGGCGATAGTCGGACGACATTCGTTCGGGAGAGCATCGAGGCACGACGCCGTTGGCCGTCGGCGCACAATCCGATCATCTACTGGTCGGCTGATCACAGAAAGAGAGAGAGAGAGAGAGAGAGAGAACGGCTTTCTCGTGAAGGGGATAGTTCATCGCGTTTAAGTGTCGGCAAACGAACGCCGCGCACCAGTGTTAGTGTGTTACCTGAAACGACAGAAGCTTAGCAAGGCGTGGTACCGTCAGCACGTTTCAGTACAATGTAAACACGAAGGCCAGGTCGCGGACTCCAGTGTACTCGGCACCGCTGACGGGAACGGCCACGCGCGAATTCCAGCTGACCTCTTCGTCGCGCGATACGTCATCGACCTCGATTATCAAAATAGCGAATTCTCGCGGTCGAAATTTGATTCTGATAAATCGTGCTCTTTCGGAATAACGTGAATCTCGAATGACTTGGAAATTTCACGAACTTTTGCCGCCGTTTGCTGATGTCGAGGACTTTAAGAATTCTGCGAGTTAAAACGTGCTCTTGAAGTTGACAGACTTTGGAAGTTAGCTGAGTGTTAACGGACGTGTGAAACTCACAGAATTGATAACATTAACTTTGCAAATATTGAAAATCGTACACTTGAATATGTTTTTAATGTTTGAATATTACATTTTTAAATGGGATTTAAAAATTCATTTAAAATTTAGATAAAGAGACAGAGAGACTTTTAATTACTGGTATAGTATTTTTTTTGAAATGTTGACCGTTCGTTTAGTGTTACTTTTTTAATTTATACTTGTGAATCCAATACAAGTAAATCTTCATTTTTAATACACATTAAATCGCTCAAGCGAATCGTTTGTCAACCTGTGAATGTGACACATATGCTGATTAGATAAGATTATCGTGAATAATCTCGCGCGAGATAAACATGAATCGTCTAAATGACGGATATTAGTACCGAGGAAACAATCAAAGGATCAACACGCTTTAACTTTTTACTATAAATGGTACTATACTAAAGTGTTCGTGATAAAAATATTTGATCGTTGACAAGACGAGTCGTTCGAATATTCAAAATGTGTGAATGAAAGTAACTTGAATAGTTGAAATTATCGAGCTTGCATGACTTTGATTTTCACGAATGAATCTACGATACGAAATTTGTATTCAGTCAGTAGCTTATATCAACAGATATCGTTAATAGGAAATGTTATTTAGCTTGAACATAGAGAGAAACCTACAGTTGTAGCTTGTATTTATTCGTCTGGTTTAACATACATAACGTTGATCGCGATTGCTAAAATTGAATTTGCGTGGAACATGTTGCGTAAATTTGCGCGTATCGCTAAGTCTTTAAATGTCATTACGCCAACACGTAATTTCGTAGCGACCAAACTCGCGAATTGATGAAACGCGGTCGCAGACGGTTTGTAATTAAAGAAACAACTACTGGCGAGTTGCTAGCGTAAATATCCCTGCGGTCGCGCCCAGAGTGTATTTGTCCGGTCTGCGGAGGGTGTGTCTTTCATGTGCAGGCTAGTTGTTAACCACGACTGAGGGGACGCATTCCGTGTTGACCCCTTATGGGGATAAAGTTAACATCGGGGTGCGTTTTGCTGGCAAAGTAATGGCAGCCGTGCACGACACACACGAACGTCTGTCTTGTCTTCGGATGATGATGAAACGGTTTAAAGCTTTCTCTTTCTAAAATAAATTGCGAGCTTACGTAAATATGAAAAACAAAATGGAAACGAAATTGAATATTGAAATAGTATTGAAATTAATTGAATCAGTGTCAGTGAAAAAAAATTTTTAATTTTTTAGTTATTTATAACAGTTGCACAAAATTGAAGAAATAAGTTTATTTTAAATAATGTGTCAACAATGTACCTGCCAAGTATTATTTTATAGATCTTTTTTATCTTCTGAATAATTTAGAATTATTTGTTTCTTAGATAAAATATCGAGATAATAAAGATAAACAATTATAAGTGATAGAAAACGAGCATACAAATAGATTGAATTAAATCGGAGCGCTAAGTTTTGTGCCAGAAGTGCAAACTTGCTTTCTTAACGTTAGAACAGTTGTAGAAAGACTTACGAACCTTCACATAAATTTGTTTCTGCGTGTCGCAAGCTGCAAGGCACGCAAGAAGTTGATAACTTTGTCTCAAAAACTTTAGTGACATTGGGGATTTGCGAGGAAAAATGGTGTGTCTGTGGAATTCTCTGTGAGATAATGTAAATAGGTGCATATTGCGTGAGCTATTGTTGCGTGTCTTCTACATATTACGCAATGAGCTTGTGGCGGTTTGGACCTTTCAAGGATGGTATGTTCATTTTGTATCATATATTGCATATAGTTTATTAACTACTCCGTTTATTATAAGTATATAAAGTAAAATTTACTTACAATTAGTATTTAATGTCTCATTTCTAACTTTACATTATTTTAAGCATTTTTTTATCGATATTTATTTATTTTTTATTTATTTGTATTTATTTTTTATTTATTCGTATTTATTTTTTATTTATCCGTATTTATTTTTTATTTATTTGTATTTATTTTTTATTTATTCGTTTATGTGTTTCCTTGTTTTTATATTCTAATTATAGTGCTTCTCCATTCACGCGCGAGATAATTTACAATAATACTTTATTGTAATAATATTTGCGAGCAAAAATTGACAATTGTTATGGATAAAAGATAAGTTTATGCGATGTGTTATATTAATTGAGAATAAAAAGCACGGAATTCATTGCGCTTAATTAAACATTCGAACGTTACATATATACTCGGACGGGCGGAAAAAAATTGATCGTCGATATTCTACGTGACTAACGGAATAAAAACTCTTCTATACACATATGTGTATCACAATGATAAACTTTGCTTGCGCGATGGAATTTATTGTTACTTGCATAGACGTGCAACAAATATTATAGTATATATTTTCACCCAATCTTTTGTGAAAATGTTCACCCACGATGCGTGACTACGGTGGGAAGCTCACGGACTTTCTTGAAAATGATAATGAGATATGTGCATTTACATAGTAAAGTTAAAGAACTTAAATGGTTGTGCTAGCACGTCTCTCAGTTGCTGGAAGGGATAAATCACAGTCATTAAAAAATTTTATTTTTCTTTAGTAATAGATAGTAAAATCATCTTACATTTAAAAACTTTTTAAACTTCTATCTGTGCTTTTCCTGTTTGAATGAAGAAATTTTTTTCATGATTTATTATCAATTTGTACGACTAAAAAACAAAATTTTTGAAAAACAAATTTTTTGAGAAAAATTAATATCTGCAATATTATAATCTTATGAACATAAATGATTTTGACGTTCAAATTTTTTTTATGTAATGAAATTTCCACATACGTATTTTTTAAAGCAACATACTTTTTATTTTAATTGACTTTTTATTTTATTCATGCATCAGATGTTTATTAAAATATATAATATAATATACGCAAATCTACAAATTTGTGGCTTTGTTGGGAAGTACTCAATTCACCGCGTTAATAGATAAATTGCATATATAGTTTGCATAGCTCATCTCGACATCTCGTTTCCAAAACATTTCCGACCGGAGCACTTCATCTAAATAAAGAGCATATCTTGTACGTCGACTTGGCAACGAACGACAATGGACATTTAGGTCATCGATTGCTCTCGAGAAAAGCAGTGTCCTTTTCCAGGAGCCCCTATACGATCTTGTGAATAAATTCTGAGTAATTCTTAATGTCAATGTTTAATATAACTACTACAGAATTACTTAATATAACTATTACAGAATTAATAGTACTACTACAGAATTATTTTAACTATTTATAATAATTTATTATATAAAAACATACATAATTAAACTCGCAAAGAGAGAGAGAAAGAAATGTATGTCATAAGCGATTCCGTTTCAACGTTATAGCTTATATCAATTATACGAAATTTTCAGCGTAATAAAGTTTCATTTCGATAATGGCTATCTGGTAATCCGACCAAACAAGATTCTAACTTAAACACGATTTAAACCTCGAACAATCAAGTTTGTTGTAATAAGATTTTATCGTAGTAGTAAAAAAGGCACTGCAATTTTAGTTACTTTCATTTGCTTCCATTTGAAATAGAAAATCTTTGTCGATCAATTGATTACAAAAATGTATTCAAAGTTTAACTTATATCACATAAATACTTTTGGAAATATAATTTAAAATATAAAATGCACAAAATAACAGCTTACAAATATATATCTTATTAAAATGTTTGATATTTCAAAAAAATTAATATATCCATCTCTCTTTCTTTCGCGTTATTGCATAATTATTATTGATTGACGAAGGGTTATTTCTCGTAGCAATAGAAATTCATTCTGTGGTGCATTACAATTAATTCCAACCCCGTAATTTTTAATCGCGATGTATGAGATTGTGTTACTTTTCGATGAGGCGTTTTATTTTTTCAAATGATTCCCTGCTCTGTGCTTCGACGCGTTCTGATGTTGCAAAAGGCTTGAGGGAAGGGTTCCATGTTCGAGAGCGTCCCCGGGAGAGTAGCTGACATTGCACGTCTCATTGTTATGTAACCGTTGTTGTATTCCATAAAAAATCATTCTTCTTTCACCCTCCGCATCTGACATTTCGAGTCTTCTACCTTCGTCACTCTGAACGATCGTATGGTTTCGTTGTAAAACACCTTTCGTCCTTTCACTATCTAACTCAGCTTTGCTATCGCAAACGAGAAACGTATGCAACAGAAAGATGCGCGCATATAGAGTCAGATACGAGCAGCAGAATCGAGCACTCGACGAAAACCGAGACGATGTTTGTCGTTTAAAGTGCTACTCTCGAGAGTTTCTTGTGCGGGTTTAGATACGGATGCTATGACATACTCAACAGCTTCGATGGATCTTTACCTTCCCAGCTTCTTACTAGCTAGTGATTCATGTGTGATTTCGCCGTGATGGAAATTTGAAGAATACCGTTTTTCTCGGAAATATAGCATAGTTTTCTGCGTTGACGTATTAATTATGTATAAGAATAAGATATAAATGTATTCTTTTTTTATTAAAAAATAATATACATATAAATGATATTTAAATATTATTTATATTTCTTATGTTACATACATATGTGATTATCTCGAAATTGTGGATATCTTAATTTTATATTCTCAGCGAATTTTTTACATAACTCAGCAAAAAGTATGAAATGTACTTCAAGCATACATTCAATGGAATATCATGGCATTAAGACCTCCAGATAAAATTTATAGAAGGTCGGTTCGGAAATTTGAAGAATACCGTTTTTCTCGGAAATATAGCATAGTTTTCTGCGGTGTCGTATTAATTATGTATAAGATGTAAATGTATTCTCTTTTTATTAAAAAATAATATGTTCAGGTTTTATGATTTCTGTTTGGACGATTTAATGAGCACGGTTTAACCTCGTGCACATAAATTTCTCCCTTAATCCCGATTTCATGTAGATACTTACCTTTATCGGATCATCGTCACCATTTATCAGAATTTTCAGCGGCACTATTTTGTCCAGAATGTTCCAGCATGCATTATGAAAGCGTCTCTGAAACAGACGTCGCACTATCGCTCGCATGCTTACTTCATTTTCATCTCGGCCACGTAACAAGCAGTTGTAAAAACACAGTACTTTCGTGTCTTTTCATTGCCTTCTATCAGCAAATTGAGGTTTGTCGCGAAAAGTAGGTAGAAATGCTAAGGAAAATAAGCTACTTACTTATTTTTCCTTGCTGTCTCTTCTTTCTTTGCTCTGACTTTTATATTTCTCTATTCTCCGCTGATCGCGAAAGTTTCGTTGACACAATCGGGTAAGAAGCGTTTGCGGATGAAAGCTTTCGAAAAAAAGCGTGATAAGAGCGGAGCATATCGCGCCCAGAGAGCGCACGGTTATTGAATAAGGCAAGAAATGCTGCAGGAACGCGACGTCGAAAAACTCGATGAGCCACCACCAACGTTATCGCCATCATCATTGATGGGGGGGTCGATCGGCTTTGTCTCGCTTTTTTTCGCAAGAGCTCACGCCACCCACCAACTCATCGCACCGTTCATCGATTTTCTCGATGGCTCCGAGCACTCTCGATATAGTGACGGTAATACATCGTAAACTCGCACGAAGCGCACGCGGAAATTGGTAAACAGACTTTGCGGAAACCGGCCAGTCGTCGCTCGCGAAAACGACAGTCGTGAAAAAATAATTTCGCGCGCGACAAAAAAAAAGAAAAGTTTCTCTCGATACGAGATAGCGTGACGAAGGTGCAATAAAAATTGTCACGAAATACGACGGTCGTAAAAAAATAATGGCAGCGGAGAGCATCTTTCTGCGCTTATTCAAGCTCGCATTGCGCGACTGATAAAATAGATACGTTGAAAAGGAACTCTGTTTTCGCTCATAAAATATCAATGACGCGCGTTCCCATGAAAATGCTCGCGCGAATATCCGCGTAATTTCGATCTTATGATGATGCGCGATAGTTCGTCTCATTAGGATAGCCCTTGACAAAATAATTACGTGTACAAAGTTTCATAACGCTTATTATGATACATCTTGAAAATTTCCTTTGCTTAGACTTAGAAAGGATATTTGCCATTGACAGGGGAGGCAAGATTATTTCGCTATAAGCTGTAATATATTGTTCGCGAAACTATTTCAATAACAGCTTCATGCGCTTTCAGCCGGAGACAGCTTTGCTACCGCATCGTCTTGTGTATTTGTAAGTTTTCCATCCGTCGTAAAAAATTTTATAACCTACGAGATATGACAATATGATTAAATTTCTAATAAACGAAGATTTACTGTTCAAAGAAAAATAAGCATTATTTCTCGCTTCTCACGTAAATCAAAATTCAAATTTCAACCAATGAGTTTATGTATAAGCATAAAAGAGCTCGTGTGTAATTATATTCTGCTCGTTATAATAATTGTCGTAGTCATATACATTGCTGTGTGGAATGAGAAACGAAGCGATGACAACCAGAATATTATGTCGCGTAATCAGTGCGTGAAGATATGCTTTCGTAAGTATAATGGATGTGAAAGATAAATTTGGGGAGTGATGTCTCTTATGTGGAAATTGCTGAAAGTACCCGGCATCAAAATGGAAATTCTAGACTACCGTAAATGCGCGACAATGTGACGTTTCATATCTGTTTCACTCCATTACATGCTAACAATGAAGTTTGCTTTGTTCGGCGAATGCAAATGCATTTCTCTTTTGATGACACCTATGCTCTTACTGCACTTTTTCAAGCGATAGCAAATGGGAAATAACGTTACTTCCGCCTAGTTTGACTCTT